CAGGCATCCCAACGTCTACCAGGGACGGCGTCCTGGCACGAAGGGGCATCCGCCCAGCATCGCACCGATAACTGGCGGGAAACAAAATTGTACAAGGAAAAACGCCCAGAGCTCGACTCGAGGAGGAGCACCACCGCGTCTGCCTTGCAATGGCCAGGCTCAGCCATCGCCGCCGCTGCAGCCTGCACCAGCGCTGGGGCCCAGGGGCTCCAGGAGGGAGCGAGGAACCCTGAAGACCGCGCCCGTGCCGTCAGGGTCGATCGCGACGTCCATGCCCTGGTCCGTGGCGTCCCAGATCACCTCCGCCGCTGCTCCGTCCAGAGCCGTGCCCGCGCCGCGGACCCGCACCCGCAGGCCTGCGGGCAGGGCGGCACGTGCGCCTGGCCCCAGCGCAGGCGGGGACGGCCTGGCGCTCTGCACGCCGACGTGCATCGCGCCCACGCTCTCGTCATCGCGGGCGTCGCCGACTTCGACGGGCACCTGCACGAGCGCGAGGCCCGTGCGCTGCCCACCAGCGCCGTCGCCGCCGTCCACGGCCGCCACCGCCTCTCGAATGGGCGGCACGCCCGCCGCGGCCGCCGCAAGGCCTGCCGCTGCTGGGCGCCCCCCATCCGCCCAGGAGTCGTCCTCCATGGAGGCGTCGTCGTCGGCCGCCGCCGCACCGTCGCCACCAGGAGGACCCGCCGTCAGCGCGCGCGGGGGCCGCCTGCGGCGTCGCCGCCGCCGAGCCCGCTCCGCAGCGTCCGCGCCAGGGGCCCCGCCCTGCGCAGCCGCTGCGCCTGCCGCTCCTCCAGCTCCTCCCTTCTGTTCCTGCTCGTCGCCGTCGTGGGCCCGAGGGGCGCCAGGCGGGGCCCCCGCGCCGCGCCCCGCGCGGCCGCGCGGCCGGCGGCGCCGCCCAAGGCGGCCCGCGGCAGCCGGTGCCGGGGGGGCGGGCGCAGCCCTCGCGCCAAGGGCCACGATGGCCGCGCGGAGCAGGCCCTCGGCCGCACGCAGGAGGCGGGTCCCGCTTGGAGACGCCGCCTCGACTGCGAGGCCGCTGGCGGCGTGGGCCGCCAGGAGGGCGCCGCGGGCCGACTCGAGGGCCCTGCGGCGCGCCGCATCAGCGCTGCCAGCGTCGGCACGCGCAGCAGGCCAAGCGGTGGCCATCACGAGGACGGCGGCCGCGGGCCCAGGCGAAGCGCAGCTTGAGCCGAGGCAGCTGTGTGTGTGTGTGTGTGTGTGTGTGTGTGTGAATGTGTGTGTGAATGTGTGTGTGAATGTGTGTGTGAATGTGTGTGTGTGTGTGTGTGTGTGTGTGTGTGTGTGTGTGTGTGTGTGTGTGTGTGTGTGTGTGTGTGTGTGTGTGTGTGTGTGTGTGTGTGGTGTGTGTGTGTGTGTGTGTGTGTGTGTGTGTGTGTGTGTGTGTGTGTGTGTGTGTGTGTGTGTGTGTGTGTGTGTGTGTGTGTGTGTGTGTGTGTGTGTGTGTGTGTGTGTGTGTGTGTGCGAGCGTGTGCATGCGTGCGGCTGTATGTAGACGCGTGTCTCATGTACTTGCCGTGCATGGTGTTGCATGTGGTGAGCGCGGGTGGGGAGAGGAAAAAGAGGAGGGAAAGAGTGATTTGTGAGTGTGAGTGTCGCGGGTGCGGCGCGGCAGGGAAGAAAACCATAACCCCACGAAGCATGTCGGGAGAAACAATGTGTGTCACTCGTATGCTGGACGCCAACATGGGGCCATACACTGTGAAACATTACTCCCCGAAAACCGCGTGAGGCAAACAAATTGTTTCACTCGTATTCTGGACACCCGCAAAAGGACATACAATGTAAAACAACACACGGGTGACACGTGTCACCCCGAACATCTTGAGAAAAACGAAGTATGCCACTCGTATGCTGGACGCCAACATGGGGCCATACAATGTGGAGCAACACACGCGTGACACGTGTCACCCCGAAAACTGTGTGAGGAAACATAATTGTTCCACTCGCATCCTGGACGCCAACATGGGGCCATACAAGGTGTAACAACACGCGGGTGAGGTGACACGTGTCACCCCGAAAACCGTGTGAGGAAAACCAAATTGTTTCCCTCGTGTTCTGGACGCTACAATGAGGCCGTGCAATGAGAAACAACACACGGGTGGCACGGGTCATCCCAAAAACCGTGTGTGAACATTAAAATGTGACACTCGTATGCTGGACGCTCACAGGGGGCCATGCAATGTTAAACAACACACGCGTGACACGTGTCACCCCGAAAACCGTGTGAGAAAAAAACAAAATGTGCCACTCGTAGGCTGGACACCAACATGGGGCCATACAATGTGAAACAACACGCGGTTGACACTTGTCCCCCGGAGAATCGTGTGAGAAAAAAACGAATTGTTCCACTCGTATTCTGCACGCCAACATGGGGCCGTGCAATGTGAAACAACACACGGGTGACACGTGTCATCCCGAAAATCGTTTCAGAAAAAGCTAATGTTTCACTCGCAATCTGGGCACCAACATGGGGCCATACAGCGGAAACAACACACGGGTGACACGTGTCACACCGAAACATGTGTACGAACGAAACAAATCGTATCCTGGTCGCCAACATGGAGCATCACAACATGAAACAACACATTGGTGACACGTGTCACCCCGAAAACCGTGTGAGAAAACTAAAACTGTCCCACTCGCATTCTGGGCGCCAACATGGGGCCATACAGCTTGAGACAACACGCGGGTGACACGTGTCACCCCGAACACCGCGCGAGAAAAAGCACATGTTTCACTCGTGCTGCGGGATGCCCCAACGGGGGGAAATGTAAGGCCGGGCGACGACGACGAGGAACGAGGACGAACAACGGCGACGACGACGAAACGCGGACGCCCCATGGGGGGGGGCACGCAAGGCCTGGCGGCGACGACGACGACGACGACGACAAGACGACGACGACGACGACGACCCACCGACGAAACTGCGGATGCCGCATGGGGGCGGGGCGGGGGGGGCGCGGGACGGGGGGGCGGGCGTGGACACAGGATGCTCAAACCAGAAATCGCAGTTCGCATTGCTGCTGGCCCGCGGAGGGAGGGCGTCGAAAACCATGCCACCGACCAATGCCAGAAGGTATTCCGCAACTTTCTGCACCCACGGAGGGAGGGTGGGCGTGGAACGGAAAATATACGGGATGTGTCCCTGCGAGGCGCGCCGGCTGCAGGGTGGGCGAGTACAAGAAATCACACGGAGTTTCCCCGAAAATTCGCGGGGCGGGGGGGGACGTAATGGGGGTCGGCCCCTTGGACCAAGTGTACTCAACAACTAAGTGCACTCTAGCCAGAAAAGATCGTTCCGGTTGCAATACGCCCGCGGGAAAACAAAACCCACGGGCAGCCAGGGGTCCTGGGTTTAACGGGTCGCCGCGAAAGTGGACCTGGACCCCCGCGGAAAAACAAAAAATCCGGCCGGGGGGTCGGAGGGTTCACGCATGAGTCGCGGGGGCGATACTGCAGTCGGACCTAGGCCATAACAGCATCCCTCAAGATCATGAGACCCTCCGTCGGCCAAATCAAACAGCATATCTAAGGGTACCATCCCCAGGATGCACAAGAACACCCAACAAACACCAAGAACACTAGAGCACCCTCCCCGAACCGACCTCGACCTTATACCTCCAACTGTACGTCGTGGGCTCGTGAAGGTCCAGTGGAGCGACGTCACGCGCGCACCCAGACGAGACCCCACGACCCCTGGGAGGGTGGCAGCTGCGCAACGGTCTCCGCTTTCGTGCGCTCCTGGGAGGCCCAGCGGAGCGACGTCGTGCAAACACGCCGACGAGACCTCGCGCTCCCTGGGTTCTAGCAACCACACTTTGGTCGGGCATGTCCTCCTACAGGCAGCTTTTGGACGAAACAAAAAACAACACCACAAAAATATTCAAACATAGGCTAAAATAGTCAAAAACAAAAAAGGATGCCTCCTGTAGAGGAACAGGCACGCCTTAAAACTACACAACTGTTGCCACTTTCGGGGGCTCCTTTCGTGTGCTTCAGGGGGTCCCAGCGGAGCGACGTCACAGGCACACCCAGACGAGACCGCGCACTCCCTGGGAGGGAAACGCTTGCGCGACAGTCGCCACTTTTGTGGGCTCCAGCGGGTCCCAGTGGAGCGACGTCACACGCGCACCCAAACGAGGCCTCACGCTCCATGGGCGTGGCAACTGCGCAACGGTCTCCACTTCTGCAAGCTCCTTGGAGGCCCAGTGGAGCGATGTCACGCGAGCACTCACTCTACCTAACAAAACCTCGCGCTCCCAGGCTGGCAACTACGCAACTGTCGCCACCCTCTCGTGTGCTCCAGGGGGTCCCAGCGGAGCGAGGCGACACGCGCACCCAGACGAGACCTCGCGCTCCCTGGGGGATGGCATGTGCGCACCTGTCGCCGCCATCGAGAGCCGCTGAAGGTCCACCGGATGGCTGTCCCGGGACGGCTCACCAACTGATGTTGCCAAACGTCTCAGGTGGGATTGGTGCGTCCCTCAATGATTTCGATTCGCCGGCCCCCGAACTCTCGCCCCCTTCCCAGGGACGGTTCGCATCCCGAGACGTTTTCTGACAATGCCAGGGCCTAGAACAGGTTCCAGGAAACCTACGACGACAGAAAAACTTGCCGTCTTGATTCGTCAAGTCTAGGGAGCAACCGAATGGCCGCCGAGTGACACTGGGGGGAACGGTCCTTGGCGCGCCTGGCCACCGCCGCGGCCCGGGGCCTCCCCGCGGACTTGCGCGACGCGGCCCGCAGCGCCAGCGCGGCGCCGGCCGTGGCGAGGGCGAGGGCGCCGCCCTGGGGCCCAGGCCCCTCGGGCGCCGCGGGGCGCACGGCGGCGCCGCGGGGCGGCGCGTGCGCGGGCTCCAACACGGCCCCGCCAGCGGCGCCCGCCGCCAAAAACGTGGTGCCGGCAGCGAAGGCCATGGCTTGGTTCCGCCCGCCTAGCGCGAGGCTCGGGGCGAAAGGGCGATGATCCACGCAAGCCCTGAGCCGGTGCTGCAAGGAGCCTTTCATGCACGCATGAAGTCACGCCGCGCGCTGGTGGGCTCGTCCTTCTCTCCGATCTCCCCCTACAAAACTTCTCCTCCTCGTCTTCGTGCATCCTGCCACTCCTCCTCCTCCTCCTCCTCCTCCTCCTCCTCCTCCTTCATCCACGCACCGCCCGGCCTCCTAGCACCATCCTCTTCCCTGCTCTGCTCTTCCACTGGCTTCCCTTCCCTCCTCCAAGTGTGGGGGGGGAGGAGGGGAGGGAAGGAGGGGGGGGGAAATCTCTGAACTGCTCTCGGGGTCGGAAGGGGGAGGCGGGTAGGAGGAGGGAGAGCAGATGATGATCGAGAGGCGCGGCAGACGGGCCAGAGGACGAATAGGGGGGAAGGAGCAGGGAGGAGGGGAGGGGCAGAATAGGCAGCAGGCAGGGGTGTGAAGAGGACGCCCCCCGCCTCCCTGCCCTTCCTATCCCGAGGAGGTGGCGCGTTGGAGGACAGGTGGAGGCGAGGAATCGAATCGAAGCGAGCTCCAGGGGCCGTGAGTCAGATGGGGACGAGGAGGGATGAGGGAGGGCCACGAGAACGGAAGGAGGGAGTGTGGAGGAGGGAAGAGGGCGGAGAGTGGAGAGGGAGGAGGAAGAGGAGGAAGGAGAAGGAAAACGTGGGAGAAAAAGAAGCGAGAAACGATAGACGCGGCAGCCATGCCAGATGCGCTCGAGCCGCGTCTGACATCCGCCCCCGTCCGCCCAGACCTCCTCGCTGCGTTGAACCCTCTCCTCTTCGCCGCGTGGGATCCCGGGGGGCGGTCTTCTTAGGACGAGAATAATATATCGACACAACGTGCTATTGATACTATCCGGAGATTCCGAGATTTCTAACAGGAAAACCGAAAATCCGGAAAACCATCAATATCCATACTCCATGCTCCTCTGACTTCTGGCCAACAGAGGATCGCCCCAGGAGGCCCCCAAAGGGAGCTCCCAGAGGGCCCCAGAGACGGGAGGAACGGGTGGCAGGCCCCAGGAGGGCCCGAAGACGGTCCCCAGAAGGCCGGAAGACAGCCCCGCATGGCCCCAAGAGAGCGCCAAGAGGTTCAGCTTCACTGACGTTCCTTTCTGGTGGTTGGAAGAACTTTGACGCCACTGCCTTCTCGAGTTTCCGATTGCCGCAGACGTCCCACAAGAAGCCTCAAAATCGGCCCAAGACAGCCTCCCAGGACGGCCCCCAGACGGCCCAACAAGGTTCCAAGACGACGCAAGAAGCCATTCGATTCGGCTCCAGAGGCTCCCAAGATGCTCCCAGGAGGCTGCCAAGAGGCTCCAAAGAGGGGGGATACGAATCCTCATGTCGGAGAGAACGCGTTTCGTCGACGCTGGCCTGGAAAAAACACCCTGACACGTTGGAACCGGGACCTCCCACACACATTGACCACCCATGGGGAATCAGGGGGGGGGCCCCACCCCCGCGGACGCCGGCCACCCTAACCTACAAATGACCCCCCCCTCCCCTCGAAAGGAGCGGTGTTCGAACCAGGGGGGCAGGAGGCAACCCCCCCGCCAAAGCGGGGGGAGGGTTCGACCCGGGGGGGTCCCCCCCTTCGAGAGCAGGGGGGGTGGATCGAACAGGGGGAAACCACACACCAGTCTGGGGGCGGGGAGGGGTCCGAAGCAAGGGGGAGCCCCCCCCTGCCCCAGGGGGGCCGTGGGGGGGGGCCTTGGAGGGGGGGGTGGGGCGGCGGCGGCGGCGGCGGCGCCGCCGCCGCCTCCGCCGTCGTCGTCGTCCGCCGCCGTGGCTGTCGCCGCCGCCGCCGCCATCGTGGTCGTCGTGGTCGTCGTGGTCGTCGTCGTCGTCGTCGTCGTCTTATTCGTCGTCGTCGTAGTCGCCGCCGCCGCCATGGATGTCGCCGCCGCCGCCGCCGCCACCGCCGTCGTGGTCGTCGTCGTCGTCGTCGTCGTCGTCGTCGTCGTCGTCGTCATCGTCGTCTTAGTCGTCGTCATAGTCGCCGCCACCGCCGCCGCCGTGGCTGTCGTCGTCGCCGTCGCCGTCGCCGCCGCAGTCGTCGTCGCCGTCCCCTTCGTCGTCGTCGTCGTCATCGTCGTCGTCGTCGTAGTCGTCGTCGCAGCCGTGGTCGTCGCCATGGTCGTCGCCGTCGCCGTCGCCGTCGCCGTCGCCGTCGCCGTCTCCGCCACCGCCACCGCCGCCGTCGCCACCGCCGCCGCCACCGCTGCCTTTTCCTCATCCTCCTCCTCCTCCTCCTCCTCCTCCTCCTCCTCATTCTCTTCCTCCTGCTCCTCCTCCTCCTCCTCCTTCTCATCCTCCTCGTCTTCCTCCTCGCCTCCCTCGCTCCTCCTCCTCCTCCTCCTCCTCCTCCTCCTCCTCCTCCTCCTCCTCCCCCTCCCCTTTCCCCTCCTCCTCCTCATCCTCGCTCTCCCCTCCGTTGAATTGGACAAGATGGAAGAAACAATATATATATATATGTATATGTATATATATATATATATCAACCACCAGGGACGCCGTTCGGGCGGGCGGGGCGGGACATATACGGTTCAACAAGTAATGGAGCGTTCAGTCGGGCGGGGGGCAAAATATTGAATGCAACCTTCACTGCGTGATGGGACAAGATGAGGGGAAACTATATGACAACCACCACGGGAAGCCGTTCGGGCGGGCTGGACGATGAATGTCCGCCGGCCCGCTTGTGGGGCCACCAGGCTGTAGGGCGAAGTTGCTGCTCCCTGCGCCATTTGCAATTTCAAGTCTCCAATGGTACAGTCCTGCGTTCTGCTTCCTACTGCAAAAATGTAAGGGGGGGAGCCCCAAACCAGCAATTTACCACGCCCGGATCGCGTGCTCTGCATTCCGGGGGGGGGCGTGGGACACGTATACATACATGAGGCTCGCGCCCGCGAAACCGTAACCCCTTGTAAATTACTCATTGTTCGCGTCTCCGAGGCCACACACACCCTCGTAAATTTCACCATTCATGCGTCCCCGACGCAACAAACCTTCAACAAACCTTGGTAAATTAAACCATATTCGGTCCCCGAAGCCATAAACCCTGGCAAGAGCGCCCAAAGAGGCGCCAAGAGGAGCCAGACCGACGGCCCAAGAGGGCCCAAAGAGGCGCCAAGAGCGTTCCACGAGGCCTCCTGAGAGAGCCCCAAGAGGCCAACTCGTAGATTTGACGAAGGTTTTTGAGGGATGATGGCCTTCAGCGGCCGCTTTTGGTTTGGGACAACATTTGTTGTTGAGCATTGTACCCATTTTTTCGGTACCCATTTCGGGCGTCCAAGTTCTCCCGCGGGACTGGGCACATCCGCCCGACATCAGTCCCCGCACCCCTCGCGGGGTCCACTCCGACCCTTCTTTCGGGGCGGATCCAAACGTGGCGAGAGAAAGCTTCCGGGAGACCCAGAAAGAACGAGAAACGCTGAGGAGGGCCGTCATTGACTCGACTGGCCCTGCTCGGAGCTGCCAGACGGCCAGTTTCGAGAGTGGTTCGGGGAAAAACGAGAGGGAGGGGAGGGGGGTATGATGGCCCTGAGGTTGATCGTAGCGAAGTTTACCTGTAATAGCTAGCAGCAGGCACAGCTCAAACGATCAACTCAATCTGCGCTGCGATAGCAGGGTGCTGGAACACATGTTTGCAGCGAGCGATCGCTAGCAGGAGGGAGGAAAGAGGAGGAGGGGTCATGGCTTGTGGTGCAGAGCAAGCGGATATCATACTTTTTTCGCGATCAGCAGTGCAAAACCGTTGCTTGACACATCCCCCCCGCCCCCTCCAGAGGTACGTGAACAGCTCCGCGGTTAGCAACGAGTCGCAGCCGGCCTTGCCCGGGGATCTTGGAGTGGGGAGGGGGCGGACAGGCTGCGTTGGTCAGGAGTCCCCTCTGCAGGAAGGAGACGGCTCGGCGACTCGGAAGGGTGTTGTCTGCAAAGGGTGCAGCTCGCAACCCGCGCTTGGGGGGGCGGGCGAGGCCTTCGCCAGGGATCCCTGCCCCGCCCCGACGAGGGCTCACCAAAATCCTTTGGCGCAAAGCGGCGCCCCCCAACGCAAACCACACCCTGGCGTACAGTCGGCTTTGATTGCACAGGACACGCGAGAGGACACAGGACCATTCCGAGGGCCACATCGCCGCAGGAGTGCAGAAGGAGACACGTGCCGCGAGGCACACAGCACGAGGGCACCCTCGAGCTGGCAGGCTCGACCTACGAATCCGGGCCGGCTGTAAGGCGCAACCATACCCCGCGTCGAAAAACGCCGGGCCAAGAGCTTGGACACCCGAAATGGGTACGGAAAAAACGGGTACAATGCCCAACCACAAATGCTGTCCCAAACCAAAGCGGCCGCTCTTGGGCAGGCGGCCTTCGTGTCTCGCATGGAGACACCGGCCGCGGCGGCGCGGACAGCAAATCCTGCTCAAGAGGAACGGGAGCTGCTGTTGGGCACTGTGCCCATCCCTTCCGTGCCCATTTCGGGCGTCCAGAGGGAGCGGAGCGTCCCCTGGCCATCGCTCGGACGTCCATTCCCTGTGTTTTTTGTCGGTTTCGTGCGTGGTTGTCTCGCCAGATGATCAAGGATGCTCCTCGATGGTCCTCGCCGAAGGAAAAATGCACACGTCCGAGCGATGCCAATTCCCTCTCTGGGCCGCACGAGCGCCTGGGCGCCCGAGAGGAACCGCCGCGGAGGAGCCGCCGCGGAGGGGCCCAGGGCACGGCGCGGCCCCCCTCCGAGCCCGAAGCGCACGAACCCGGATTTCTCGGAGGGCCGCGCGGAGGCCCCGCGGCGGCGCGCGCGCGGAGCGCGCCAGGGGGGCGACGCCGGGGGCCCCCAGCCATGGGGGCCCCCAGCCAGCGCCGACCCCAGGGGTCAGCGCGAGGCTTCCGAGGAGGTCTCGTGCCCACGCTGTGGTTCGCTGTTCCTCGGCTGCTGCCTCGGCGGCGCGCCTTGGGGAGGGGGGGGGAGGCGAGAAGGAGCAGCTCCTGCTCAGAAGGC